ACCATAAAAGTATCTCAAGCTCTTCCACGCGTGAATTACAACTTCAACATTCGTCTTGAACTTATCGATTTGGGATCTTGAAGACAAACCAAAACGCCACATGTCATCTACTGAAATTCCATTTGATTTCAATCACGTACTATTGGGAAGTTGGAAACTAGTAAACTCTTGGGCTTACATTTGAACCAATAAAACTGATAATTGGGCCCAATAAGTTTTACTACTAGATGTTATGAGAGTTTGTGATGGGAAGAATTATTATTGACTCTCGTGAAGATGAATATACAAAGTACAAACATTTATATAGTGATAGAGTTTACCTAATTATCTATCTAATAGAATCATATAACATAAATATAAATCTCTATAATTATATTCATAATATTCTCATTAATAACATTGATCTTCTAGATCCTTCTATACTGTAGACGTCTAGACTAGACGTATAACCATGTAGAAATATACGGACATTGTAGAATTTGTATATTTTGATTTTGAGAGTGAGATTTACAAGATAATAGGAACACCACATGACCGTTTCTTCAAGCTCTAAATATAAACATTCCTCAACGAAAGAGCACCCAAACTCTCTCTCTCTCTCTCTCTCTCTCTCTCTCTCTCTCTCTCTCTCTCTCTCTCTCTCTCTCTCTCTCTCTCTCTCCCTATAGCCATCTCTTGCATTCAAGTCGAATCCAACTGTTGACATTGTCCAATATCTTATTAGATCAACAAGGAGATTTTTTTTGTATTGTTTTGGTTGGAGGAATCAATTATGGGTTTGGAAGATGAGAAGAAGCTGGAGAAGCTCCAGGAGAGACATCAGAGAAAGAAAATTTGTGTATATATATACATTTTCCAGTACATATGCATGCATGGACCTTTATGCTGAATACAATACAATATTCTCCCATTTAAATCAAACTAATATTAGTAATTCACACATAACTCGTCTACAGAAATGTACTATAATTTAAATCAACACAAACTAATATATTAATTAATATTTCAAAAGAGTTACCTATAGAAGTTATAATGATTTTGCAATTCAATCACAATTTTGGAAATTGTTGTTTATTTCATTTGGACTAACCCAACCTGTCAATGGAGAAGTTCAATATAAGTTTTTATTCAAGTTTGTGAACTTTGAATCTGATTGGTCATTTTTTTCCAGAAACAATTTAACACCTTACCCACAATTTTGTTGAACTTTTTACCCTTCTTGAAACTGTATCTCAAAGTCTCAAAGCTTGCGAAACTCTAACCATCCTAAATGGTAGACGTTTCTTTCTACATTGTTTATTGAGAATCCAATATATTTTATATTAATCAAAAGAATTATCAATATAAACTATTTAAATTGATGCACAAATACAAGAAAAGAAACATACAGAACACAACCAAACATAACAAAAGAATCCTAACAACTTATTAATAAGAGAACTTAAACATTCTATTTTGGATTTGCCCAAAATCTGCTCTACATTCACTCTCTTAAAGAGCTCTTTTATTTGATCGTTCTCATGGGTGAAATGGTTGCTATTTCAAGCCAGAAAATACATTTGTTTTGAGAGAATATTATTTTATTTAAAATAATGATTCTAATAATTAAATAAATTAATAATTATTTATTTATACATTTATAAATAATAATATATAGTAAAATATGATATATTGTTGTCACATTTTACTTATCTTTGAAATTTATTTATTTTTTAAATAAATTTGATATTTGAAAATATTTTTTATATTTTTATGAATATTAAGAATTTAAACTAAAAAATATTTCTATAAACTAATGTGATAAATTAATAATTAATAAAATATTAAAATTCTAATATTATTAATTTATAGAAATTAAACTATACCTTCTTATTTAAAACTTATGTTCTTAAAACTGCTATTCAAATAATATACTATAGAAAAGAGACGACTGATTTCGAATAACGGAACCACAAAAAATAATTTGTGTTACATTCAAAATGATTAAACGAACTTTCGTGTAAAAAATAATAAAAGGAAGAAAAAAAAAGAAAACATGATAGTAGAGGAAAATACCAAACGCAAACATATATAAACATACAAATCCAATCTTCAAATTCAAATTTAAAGGGTTAGCTGATGCAAATTTATTGAAAGCCAGAATTCAAGAAACACAAGCATGGTATGGAACACATATAGATGCGTAATTATCAATTTTCTAGATTTGGTTATGCATCTGCAGCTTACGCTGAGGCCATCATCCGATAAGTCAAGTTTAACACACATCCCATCCCAATTTGCGCCGTGGGGCTACCTTGCAAACCCGCGGTACACCCTTGGTAACCAAGAAAACAGTAAATATCCTTCTTCTTTATTGGGCTTACATTTGCACCAATGAAACTGATAATTAGGCCCAATAAGTTTTACTACTATCCTTTGACTCCACATGGCAAGCCAACATGCATTAGACCGTTCTGTAGACGTATAGACTAGACGTATAAGCCATGTAAAAAATATACGGGCATTGTCGAATTTGTATATATTTAGTAAATTTTGATTTTGAGAGTGAGAGATTTACAAGATAATAGGATCACCACATGACCGTTTCTTCAAGCTCCAAATATAAACACTCCTCAACACAAAAGCACCAAAACTCTCTTTCTCTCTCCCCTATAGCCATATCTTGCATTCTAATCGAATCCAACGGTTAATATTGTCCAAGATCTTATTAGATCAACAAGGAGAATTTGATTTTTTGTATTGTTCTGGTTGGAGGAATCAATAATGGGTTTGGAAGATGAGAAGAAGGAAGGAGAAGCTTCAGGAGAGACATCAGAGAAAGAAATCGGGCTAAGCAGAAAAAACAGTGATAACTCTTTGTCTCCAACAGAAGATGATGAAGACGACGAAGGGAAGAAGCCCCAACTCGGTCCCATGATCGCTCTTAAAGAACAGCTCGAGAAAGACAAGGTCTTTTGTTATTCAATTCATTAATAGTATGAAATCATTTAGACTAAACAAGTTTATAGGTAATGGTGGGATTATGGTCTTTTGTTATTCAATTCATTAATAGTATGAAATCATTTAGACTAATCAAGTTTATAGGTGATGGTGGGATTATGGTTTGGTTATATTATTAAAAATGTCAGTAATTTATTCATGGCATATTAATGTATGAACTTTTGGTACATTTAAATATTTTAATAGATGTTAGATACGTCAAGAATTAACAGTCTTATATTTTCGACAAAATTTTGATAGGATGATGAAAGCTTGAGAAGATGGAAGGAACAGCTTATCGGCGTTGTGGATTTGGAAGATGTCGGAGGTAAACCAAATCCAAAATCCGGTTTAAATCTTATGATCTTTAACTCTATATATAGATGATTTAACGCTAGTTGTGAATCTTGTGATTCAAGTAAAGTATTATGTCAATGCCAAAGGCATTCATGTATGTTAATTAAATCAAATAACATTTTGACTTACCCTAATTTCGGTTAAATTTCAAAAATAGAGGCACAAAATCCATAACTACTGATCTTGAGTTGTCGTATTGTAAGATATCTATATATTGAAGGATGTTTAGAATTAGAAAACACTTAAAAATTGTTATATCAACACATTTGTTAACCAACAAACTGAAATGCAGAGACACCTGATCCGGTAGTGAAGATACTAGACTTGACAGTTAGGTCCTCAGACAGAGAAGAGATGGTGTTGATGATACCTGATGATGGGTTACCGAGCCCGAAAGGTCCTTGGTTCACCATAAAGGAAGGATCTAAGTACACACTTGTCTTCAACTTCCGAGTAACCAACAACATTGTCTCGGGCCTTCGGTATAACAATACGGTCTGGAAAACCGGTGTCAAAGGTATATTTGTCTTTTCGCTTGTTTCTTCGTTATTGGTTGAAATTTTTTGATGTGTTTGGTGTCTTTCTTTTGGAGTAGTGGATAGTACAAAAGCAATGCTTGGAACGTTTAGTCCTCAGGCTGAGCCATACCAACATGTGATGCCTGAAGAAACAACACCGTCTGGTATTTTCGCTAGAGGATCTTATTCCGCAAGAACTAAGGTATATATACATTGGGGAGAAACTAATCAAATTGTTTAGTTATTAATATTTGTTTGATGAGTTTGAGGCTTTGTTGCTATAGTTTTTGCTATTGTAAATAAATGTTCAAATTACTTATTTAGTTTATTGTATATTTTCAGTTCGTTGATGACGATAATAAGTGCTACTTGGAGATCAACTACACCTTCGACATCCGCAAGAATTGGCAATGATCCACCAAACAAAACATTAAGTCTAAACCTATATAATACAGACCAAAGCTCTTTTGATGATACTATTTTTGTTATCTTACATTCGATTTTTACAGACTAGAAAACTCATTTAGCCTTTGATTTAATGAGCATGAATAAAAGATACTGTCTTAGTGTTTATGAATTTTTTTTATCCTCGCTTTTCTTTTGAATTTATAGGTCGGATCACAGTCATAAACTACACCAATTTTCATTGATATACAGGATATGACACATGTTCTTTACATCTTTTACGAACTACACAATACAAATTTCCATTTAAACCTTTTTAACGTTCTTTGGTCCAAGACTCAAATGTAATAACGAAGAGACTTTTTCGTTCGTTTAAAGAAGATCAATACAAATCCCCTTATAGTTCCGATTTTTTCTTTCAATTATTTTGAAGATAATATAAAACTTCAAAGCGAGAACAGGGCTTTTGTGAAAGGAATTGTATACTTATATATTGAACATTTATCGAAGAAAATACATATCATAAAAGATGTGTAAACCAGTAATAAAAAAAAAAAACTGAAACTATGTACTCATTCTCTGTTTAATCGAGAAATAAAAGAACAAAATATTCATGGGAAAAAAAAATAACTCGAATGTCTCTTCTTAACCAAAAACACACAAATAGGTTCGAAGCCAAAAGAATATTTGATAATTGTGACTAGTGTTCACTTTAACCACTAGTTAATGAATGGTTTAAGCTTAGTAGTATGGGATTGATGGTGGAGGAGGAGACGCATAAGAGACACCGTGGATTGGCGGAAGAGGTGTGTCCTCGTAGGATGGAGGCGGTGGAGAAGGTGGTGTTGTTGTTTGGTAGTGATGGTCGTTACCTGGACCGTCGTTACATCCCTTCGGTGGTGGTGGTGGAGAGTGGTTTGGGGATGCCGGTGGATGGTACTCAACTGGTGGTGGCGGTGGAGGACTTTGTGTTACTGGTGGATAGTAAACTGGTGGTGGTGGTGGAGGACTTCGAGTTACCGGAGGATAATATACCGGTGGTGGTGGAGGTGGGCTTTGTGTTACAGGAGGATAGTAGACAGGTGGTGGTGGTGGACTTTGAGTTACCGGAGGATAATATACCGGTGGTGGTGGAGGTGGGCTTTGTGTTACGGGAGGATAGTAAACCGGTGGTGGTGGTGGAGGGCTTTGTGTTACAGGAGGATAGTAGACCGGTGGTGGAGGTGGAGGGCTTTGTGTTACCGGCGTATAGTAAACCGGTGGTGGTGGTGGTGGGCTTTGTGTGACAGGCGTATAGTAAACCGGTGGTGGAGGTGGAGGGCTTTGTGTTACCGGAGGATTGTAAACCGGTGGTGGTGGTGGACTTTGTGTAACCGGTGTATAGTAAACCGGTGGTGGAGGTGGCGGGCTTTGTGTAACTGGCGTATAGTAGACCGGTGGTGGAGGTGGAGGGCTTGCTGTTACTGGTGGGTAGTAAACGGGTGGTGGTGGTGGCGGTGGAGATTGAACGGCGTAGTAAGTAGGCGGTGGCGGAGAAGACGTGTATTCGTAATAAGGTGGTGAAGGTGATGGATAATGTTCACTCGGCGAAGGACTTTGCTGATATTGCGGCGGTGGTGGTGGAGATGAGTAGATATATGGCGGAGAAGAAGATGGTGGTGGTGGTGGTGGTGGAGGGTATGCTCTAACAGAAGGCGACATTCCGGAAGAAGGAGGAGGAGGAGGCGTCGATGGCTCATACTTAGGCGGTGGAGGAGGATAAGCCTTGACAGAAGGCGACATCTTCGAAGAAGGCGGTGGTGGCGGAGTAGCTCTAAACGTAGGCGACATCTTGGAAGACGGAGGCGGCGGCGGTGTTGCTCTAAAGGTAGGCGACATCCTGGAGGACGGAGGCGGCGGAGGAAGTACTCGTACGGTGGGTGACATCTTAAAAGACGGTGGTGGAGGAGGAGAAAACATATTGTTGCATCCAAATCTGCTACAATCAACAGGACGTGAAGCAGAAGAAGAACACTCTCTAACCGATCTCTGACGTTCTTTACCGGCGATACAATTCATCGAACCATTAACTGCCACGTCGTCTCCCGAAAGCGCCGCGCATCTCGGAGCATCGCCGGTGAAGAAGTTGGAAGAGTAAGTGAAGTTCTCGAGGTTAGACAGCTGGCAAATGCTGCTCGGAATCACACCTGTGAACCTGTTGTTACCAACATTGAGCTGCTCCAAGCTCCTCATGTTCCCGACGCTCGACGGTAACGGACCGCTTAACCGGTTGAAACTGACGTCGAAAACCGTCACGTTCTTGAGATTCCCGATCTGTGGCGGTAAGCAACCGGTTAAGTTATCGTTAGAGAGGATGATCTCGTTTAAAGTTTTCCCCATTTGACCGATACTTCCCGGTATACACCCTCCAAGATCGTTATCCGCGAGAACCAGAACAGAAACCGGAGAGTTTCCCATGTTCTCCGGTATACCAAACCGAAACCGGTTATGATTCAAGAAAATCGCGTCTAGCTCTTTATCGAAAAGCTTTGAAGGGATCCCACCTTCAAACTCGTTGTACCGGAGATCCAAGAACTTGAGTGAAGGCAAGAACAAGACAACATTAGGGAACTTTCCAACGAACCGGTTGTTACTCAAATCAAGCTCGTAGAGAAGCTTCATACGTTTAAAGGTGATAGGGACTTGACCACAGAACCGGTTTGAGTTGAGATGGAAGAGAGCGAGATCAGTGAGGAGACCGAGCTCAGGAGGTAAATAGCCAGCCATATCGGCATGGTTAAGATCAATGCCTGCAACAACTCTGGTTTTGGGAGAAGAAGGAGAAGGAGCACAGAAGATACCATTGTAGGAGCAAACATCAGAGCCATTCCAATTAGCTGTGAAGTTAAAAGGGTCAGAGAAAATAGCTTGTTTCCATGATTGAAGAGCAATGTAGGCTTGACGAAGACTCGGGTTCTCGAACTTTAGACTCGGGTCGACTTTGATACCGTCTTCATCACCGTCGTCATCGTCGCCAGCAGCTCTAATGTGCAAGAAACAAGAAGAGAACAAGAGGAAGAGGAAGAAGAGACGAAGAGAAGAAGGGACCAACAACATTTTCTCTGTTTCAAAGTTTCAAAACTTTAAAACTCAAAACATGAAAACTGAATATTTTGAGAGGGAGAGAAATAGCACATGGGACAAAGAGACCCTACCTTCACTAATTGTGACATCTAAGATCTCCATGTGCATCTTTATAAAAACAGTCAGAACTCAGAATAAAACTCAGAAGTCGTATCTCTCTCTCTTCTCTTTTCTTTCTTTGTTTATGAATATTTTGGTTTTGATTAATGACAATTTGGCACGTCGAGGAAAAAATACAGAGGAGACAAAAGACTGACCTTTAATTACGCGGCAATAGATGGAGCCACCGTCACCGACTTTACTCTATAAACTTGGATACATGTCCCCAAAGATTCTCTCTGAGAAAAAATAATAAGCCGTCACAGACCTATAATATAACGCGTTTCTCGATAATTCAAAACAAATTGTTAAATAACATTAACTTGGATGCATGCTGTCACAATATACATTGTATATACATAAACATTTCTTCAAATATCATTCATCATTCATAACTGGTCAATCTCATTGTAGACAATTTTCACCTGTTGCTGTTGGTAAGCATTACTCTGTTTTAAGCTGCAAGTGAATCTTTATCTCATATAATTTTAAAATGCTTTGTGTATTATTATGGCTAAATACATCTTCTAGAAGGAAAAAGATATCAAGAAACATCAATGTGAAATGTGATTTTAAGAGAGAAATCTATGTGAAGCTTTTGATCCAATGTTCCGGAGAAGTGAAATAATATGAATTAAGAAGATCAACAAGAGAAGATTTGATAACATCACTGATATTAAAAAACGCTTCTTTGACTCCAAAAGATTGGATTTAAAAGAGTTGAAACAAAAAAAGTAAACTACAATTTCAAGTGAAAGTCTTTCATCAAAAGGCCCATGCCTGAAACAACAAGCATTCTATGAAATCTGCCGTTAAAAATAGCAATTTTTCAAGACCTTATTCATGCTTACTTCGTCTGCATTACTAGTAATCTTAAGCAACCATTGGATAATGAAGATTAGCAAGTATCTTAAACCAAAAAAGATTCCATGCTAATATAGAGACCTGAACATATTTCCATTAAGACCACTAATCTAGTTAACATAAAAGACGAAAAAATCGCAAACTAAGCGCATTGATCTGGCTAAATGTAAGATGAAGAGGGCTAAAGATATAAGAAACATCAACATGAAATATGGATCTTAAGAGTGAAATCTATGTGAACCTCTTGGTACAATATGTTCCTGAGAAGTAAAAGCAATGTGATTTAAGATGATTTACAAGAGCACTGAAACTAAAACGCTCCTTAATCCTAATAGATTAGAAGTAAAAGAGTTGAAACAACAAATTTCAGGGAACTTTTTATCAAAAGTTCTTGTCTTGAATCTCTTCCGCTATTAACAACCAACATTCTTATAAATTCTGCCGTAAAACTACTATAAAGCTAGCAAATATCGCTTCAAATCTCGAGTACAAGATCTTACTCATACTTACTTCATCTTCATTACTAATATCTAAAGCAACAATGGATAATGACGAAATCACAGTACCTTAAACCAAAAAGATTCAATGCTAATATAGAGAAACCAGAGCATTGTTCCATTAAAACCATTTAACACTACTTCAAGCTCAAAACCAAGCTTAACATATTAACAACAATCATACCAAAAACACAGAATATTCAGTATTCTCGGACGAAAAAAACAATCAAATTGGACTATTACTTTAGTCAAAACTCAATCTTAGTAACTGCATTATAAATCAAGATCTATAAAAGACTAGCTAATTTGGTTTTGAGCTAATCACAAACCTTTTTCTAACATACACACTTAATCATGGAAGAGGAAAACTACTAACACATTCAAATTCCATTTACAGAGAAGCAATCGGAATCAAGGAAGGATCAAATCGTCGGAAATTTCCAGCACCGGTGAGTTAGGAGTTCGATTAGTCGCTGATTCCGACAGTGGCAAGCGCCGCCGAGCTACGCTCCGGCGAGAGAGTATACTATTCGTGGATCGATTTGATTTCGAGAAATGCCGTTGAAGAATTATTATTGGTTGAGTTTTACGACGTCGTTTCATTATACAAAATACAGTAAAACTTCTATAAATTAATAATATTGAGACTGTAAAAATTTATAAATTTATAGAATTATTAATTAATCAATAAATTAATAATTACTAATTTATCGAGAAATTAATATTCTATTAATTTATAGAAAGATATTTCAGTTTAAATTCAAAATATTTGTCAAATAAACAAAAAAAAATATTTTCAACAATGTAAAATTTATTCAGAAAATATCATATCAGTGAATTTAAAATATAAGTCAAACAATTTTTATAAACTTGAAATAATAATATAATTATATTTTACTATATTATATTATTTATATATGCTTAAATGTATAATTATTAATTTATCTAATTATTGAGACTATATTTTTACATAGGAGTTTCAAAAAAAATATTATCTTATTATTTTATCGAAATTTGTTAATTTTTACACTAACCCGACTTGGGACCGACAAAAACTATTAATTTATAGTGATTATTAATTTATCGAGTATTAATTTATAGAAATTCTACTGTATAGTTTTCTTAACACCCCCAAATATTACTTCATCTCTCATTTTCTACATAGGAATAGGATTAAGAAATTTGAGCATATTAGTAGTACCTTCATCTCTAATTTATTTAGTTGGAATGTAAAACTTACAACTTAACCAAAAAAAAATATATATATATATATATATATATATATATAAACTGTTGAAAGATTTTTTTTAACGAAAATGAAGCTGAAACCAAAACAATGATAGAGATTTATTTATAATATATTTGAAAACATCTGTACTTAGACATAATTTTTTTTATTGGAATTGGTTTATGATAAGAAATAGTTTTCTAGTTAAACAAGATAACGTATACCTATAATTTGTCAGATTGTTTATTTTTTCTTTTGTCAATTCAGATAATTTGAAATAGATGAACTGTTTCCTGTTAAATATGATAATAAGATTATAAAATGTGGGGAGACAATTTATCGAACTAAAAACAGGCCGAGACAGGTAAGGCCATGCGTCTCCCCATGTGCAAAGCAATTCTGAGATCATTTGGCTCCTTCTCCAATTATTTTGGGATAACCAAATAGTTGATTTCATTTCTACAAAAACATAACACAAATTAAAAAAAATGCTAGAATATATAGTCTGTACATAAATATATTTATATATTTTTATAAATTCTTAGCAGTATTATATGATCTCTTTATTCAGTATTATATGGATGCAAGTTATCATATCACATTTTAGTTAGAATAATAAGAAAATTAAAAAGAATTAATTTGGTACTATATACTCCTATATGTTTTGTTTTCCTAGTATGTACATGTTTGTAGTATATTGGCACAAAATACTACTTGCATCTATTATGAGTGTTAGGAGTATGATCCTATGTCATATGAGTTTTTGACTTTTTGAGATAAAAAAACAAACAATTCATATAGTATAGGACACGAGGACACGTATTTTTTTTGGCATACAAAAAGCATCATTACATATCCTAAAATGATGGTGATAACTGAGATAAGTAAACCAGAACATTAGTAATTTAGTATTGTTTTGGTTCGAGATCCACGTTTATAAGATATATTTTAAAAAAAAAATGGATAGAAAACCTTTTTTTTCTTCAAAATTATTGTTTAGAGTTGAGGTCTAAAATGTGATATGTAATTTTATATGTACACGAGTTGTGTTTATCAACTTTTCACTCAACTATCTAAGGTATTCCGGAATATAAAAATCTAAAAAGCTTTAAACCGTTAGGACTATATATCAACTATAAAAAGTTGAAGTGGACACTACTAGGTCATAAGTATGTATCGTAGGTTAAAATGTTAAAAAGAAGAAATTCGAAATCTTCTTTTCATTTTCATGGATAGTTTTAGAAGAAGCCAAAAAAACTAACAACAAATAGAATTTTTCTGTTGTGACGAAAACAAGAGAAAATTCCAATTGAATGAAAAAAAAAGAGAATAATTCTTTATTTTTTTGTCACGTCCCCAAAAAAAAATTAAAATGATATTATTATTTTTAAGCCTTGTGCTTGCTCTCTCTCTTCCAGAGAAAGGGAAAAAAAAAAAATCCCCTTCCTGATATTTTCTGCTTCGCTTCGCTTTGCTTTTGCTTTTCTCTCCACAATATTCCTTTTTATTTTTGCCTTTTTAGCTCTCTGCGAATCTCCTCGTTCTCGTCGCTGTGTTTTTCCGATCGTCGCTTCAAAACAGAGCTATTCCTGGATTCGGAATCTCTCTTGCGAAGAGGTATGCGCGATAAAATTTCGACATTTTCTGTAGCTTTATATTCGAATTCGTCACTTCACAGTTCGTGCTTCACACTTACGAATTTCTTCACTCTCTTTGAATGAATTTCTGAATAGTATTGAGTATCTTCGGCATCTTGTTTTCTCGTCTTCTGCTGATGAAAAAGAACCGATTAAATCCTCGAACGGAATCTGAGTTTTATTCAAGCCATGGTTTTATGCTAAATCTAGTCGCCTTGAAGTGTTTCTTCCAATTCCGTCATATGTTCTTATCAAGTGTATTTAATGGGAGACAAATCTCTTCACTCGTGGGGGCACAAATGTTATCAATTAGCACCTTATCAATAATTGCTGAATTTTTAAAGTGATTGGGAATTCGAGATGTTGACGTCCATTGTTAGGGTTTAGTTAAAATTGTTCAAATTTATTGTAGAAACTGATGTTGTATTTTGGTTTTAAGTTGTTGGAGACAGATGTTCTCCTTTTAAATTCAATTCGGCAAAATCGGAAATTTTACAAGCCATGGAAGAAGAAAATGTCACTAGCATCCCTTCAACGCCGGTACAAAGGCTTAGGCATCGAAAACGCTCTAGTGAGGTTTGTTTCTCTTCATCAGAATAGAGAAGTGAGCTTGATGAGCTATCTAGTAAAATTGAAGTGAGCTTGATGAGTTTCTTGTTTTGATTAGGTTCTTCTGGATGGGGACAAAGTGAATGCAAGCGCTCTGCTTGTTAATGATCGGAATAAGTACAAATCATTCATGGTTAGGACTTACTCTACGTTATGGATGATTGGTGGTTTTGTTATGATTGTCTACATGGGACATCTGTATATCACAGCCATGGTGCTTGTTATCCAAATATTCATGGCCAAAGAGCTTTTTAATCTGCTGAGGAAAGCACCAGAGGATAAATGTCTCCCCGGGATTAAACAGTTGAATTGGTAAAGTCAGCTGCCCTTTATCGGTCTGGTTGTTTCCTCAGTTAACAAACTGTTGGCTCAGGTCGTCTTGTTTGTTTTTCTTCTGCAGGCACTTCTTCTTCACTGCCATGCTTTTCGTATATGGCCGGATCCTTAGTCAACGGTTAGCCAATACTGTGACTGCAGACCAGTTCCTATACCGGCTAGTCAGCGGCCTAATCAAATACCATATGGCTATCTGTTACTTATTGTATATTATAGGTTAGTCTTGCTTCACCAATTTGTCGTCTTTGTGGAATTTGGCTTTTCACCATCAGCGAAAATGGGTCTTGAAGCTATCTTACATTTGATGCTTGAGGAGTCTGCTTTAATGTGTAATAACTTGCAGGTTTCATGTGGTTCATTCTGACATTAAAAAAGAAGATGTACAAGTACCAGTTTGGCCAATATGCATGGACCCATATGATTTTGATAGTCGTGTTTACTCAGTCCTCGTTCACTGTTGCCAACATATTTGAAGGAATATTCTGGTACATTTTCTAGAATTTCAGCATATGAAACTTCATGCTTTTCCGTCTATTTGCTGAATATACACTCCTATCCGTTATTTAACACCAAATATGATGATGCTATGCTTTAAAAATCTCGACAACCTTGCTACACTTGCACAATTTGGCCCCAATCTGTCTTTACTTTTGTTCTTGGTCGAAATGTAATTGTCTTCTTGATTGATCAGATATGTTTTCTCCTTTCAACGCTTGAAATGCAGGTTTCTTCTGCCAGCATCTTTAATTATAATCAACGACATCTTTGCTTATATTTTCGGTTTCTTCTTTGGAAGAACGCCCTTAATAAAGCTATCTCCAAAGAAAACATGGGAAGGATTCATCGGAGCCTCTGTGACAACTATCATCTCTGCATTTCTTGTGAGTACTTGTTACCTTTCTGGCACCATCCAACACATAAAAGGCCTGCATCATTTTTTGTATCTTCACCGACCCTGTGCCTGAAAATGTTCTGTATGCGTGATGTTTCAGCTCGCAAATATTTTGGGTCGGTTCCCATGGTTGACATGCCCACGACAGGTTGGTCATTGAGGGGAAAAAAATGACTCTGATCTTGAACACGATCTTTGAGGGAGCTTATAGTAAATATGTGTTACATTCTGCAGGATTTGTCCACTGGCTGGCTACAGTGTGATGCTGACCCATTGTTCAAACCTGAACCTTTTACTTTACCTGCGTGGATTCCAGAATGGGTAAGCCTTAGTATCATGCTACATTGCTTAGAAGAAATTTATCCGTAGAATAATTTTTAAGATGATCAAGAAGATAGACTATAACTGATTTCGGTTAAAAGAAAATTTTGCATATGCTTTCTCAACTTCTTACTACACTTTTGCAGTTTCCTTGGAAAGAAATGGAAGTCCTCCCTGTTCAGTGGCATGCTTTATGCCTCGGTTTGTTCGCATCGATCATAGCACCTTTCGGAGGGTTTTTCGCTAGTGGGTTTAAAAGAGCATTCAAAATCAAGGTCTGTGATCAACACCACCAATTTTTTTGAGGTAAGCTTTACTTAACAACACACATCTTAACCTCTAACAAAACCTCTTGAACCGTAATCGCAGGACTTTGGTGATAGTATTCCAGGACATGGCGGAATCACAGATAGAATGGACTGCCAGGTAACACTAATGAAACTAGCATCTCTTCTTCATAAGATTATGATTAGAGCATGATTGAGTTTGTTTAAGAACAACAGATAAGAGAATTGCAGAAACGGTATCGATTTCCTTTATTGTTTTCTCTGTTAAATTGTCGATGAAGAACAATGAACTGATGAACCAATGACTAGCGGCTAGTGAGAACCAAGAGATAGTTATGAGTCCCTAGACTCTCTCAGAACCCCACAAACAATTCAAACGACCAAAAAGCTTATTTAAAGGTATTTGCGTTTACAAGTTAACAAAGGGACTTAAACTTTTTCTATTGTTACAGATGGTAATGGCAGTATTTGCTTACATATATCTCCAGTCATTTATAGTTTCCCAAAGCGTTTCGGTTGACAAAATCCTGGACCAGGTAACGTAACTTCTCTTTATACAGCTCGACTTTGTTTGTTGTATCTATGAAAATTCACTTTGTGACTAATCAATCAATAATGTGATGTTACATTGTAGATATTGACGAACCTTACCTTCGAGGAACAACAAGCTCTCTTCACGAGATTAGGGCAAATGCTTCAAGACAAGGCGAAAATGATCGGTTACTCATAGTTTCCACTGTCGAAAACTTTTCTTCAGATTCTCCAAAGAACAGCAGGTTCTATAACTCTGGAATATCCTTTTATCTTCTATCAGTGCTAGAGACAATAATTTGAAATTGGATTAAGATTTGTTTTCTGCCATTGTAAATCCTCTTCAAGGTTGTCGAAATTAGAAGTTTTCTCAAAGTCTTCTCATTTGGTACAATAGGTTTGAAGTTATAAGTTGTATCTACTCTCTACTTATCTAGTAGGCAGGCATTGGTGGTTCATTTGTATCTGTATATGGTTAAATTTAAACGACATTTGTTTGCTTTTTTTTTTTTGTTCATGGTTCGATTTAGTGGAGTTAGCAGGTAAATTGAGTGTATCAAAACGATGGCGTATTTACTTGGACTCTTCTGGGCTTTGAATTGTGGCTCAAATTGTTAATTTTGAGATAGGTCTACAAAAGGTATATTTAGCTTTATTGGGCTTATGTATACCCCTTTGATGGGTTAAACTCTTCATTACCATTTTCAAATGCTTGTGGATCTATTTCGGGCTTTTCCAATTTCCCACACAGCATATTTGACGGAAGTTTACATGTGAAGATTTTAACGACAGAGAAGACATTTTAATTTGGTAATGGATATCCGAATTTTATCAGCAAGACTGATGTATAACGTTACCAACCAAAGCATATTATATATAACAAACAAATATTAAAACTAATGCTCTTCACGTGTTAAGAAAAAGTGATACTATTACTATTTTCAACAACTATTTTTGTGAGACTTAAGGAAAACAAACTAAATCCAAAACAAGAGAGGCAGTGTTGCAAACGAAATATATCAGGTACGTTGAACTTAGACACTTTCTTAAATACATTGAATCTGGACGTTCTATAGATTTTATCCCTGCTTCTAATTTCCGCGTCGGCGGATAATAGTAACAAGCAAATCAAGGACAAAATCTAACCGATAACCACAACTTGTCACGTGACAATCACATGTTAACCTTGACTCACTTGTTGTCTGGCACGTGTATTCACGCGCCGGCACCTTAGACTGAACACGCCAGTTTTACCCACGTCATCAGTTAACAGTCGATAATGAATATGACGTGGACGTCGATAAACAAAAGTAAATGAGCAAACCTCCAACGAGAACTATTTTTTTGTCGTATCTAAATTACCATTTTTTTAATATACATGTAGAAATAAATCTGAAATTTTTATTTGAGCAAATAATTCAGTTTGATGTGTAGGATTTTATTCCGAATAAAGAGTCGAAGCATTTAGAGATCTTATTTTGATCGATTCATAGTGAATCTAGACGCTATAGTGTGATAGAAAAAGAAACTTGATTACAAAGTAACCATCCACATTCTCAAATCTGTTAAATAAATAGAAAGTTAATTACCATTACGTTAACGGCGTCAATTCTTCTAAAGTAATTGAGTTAAACATTTTCATACTTGTCAACATAATTTCACCACTCTGTCGTCATCTTTTATCATTTTGTCGTTTACTCCGTTTAAGTCTCTCTGTTAAATCACTATGTATAAATATACGTTCATAAATTCTCCGAATCATCATCATATATAGTATCTCGTCAAACAAACTTATCAGAGAACAAAAGACGACAAAATAATAATAAGATGGTGGAGATTCGAGGGAGATTCAAGAGAATTGAGTCGGCTTTCAACGTAGCGGCGGCGCGTGCTCGTCCGCCCTGTGATAACAGCAGCGGGAGCGATCACTCGCCGGAGGACACGGCTGATCTTTCGGATTTGGTCGCGTCTTTTATTGAACAAGAGGGACAAATATTACCGGTGAAGAATCCGGTGGAAGAAATGGATTCTTCGGACAGCGAGTATGAGGATGTGAAGAAGAGGTTACGGAAGCTTCTAGATGGTTTATCCGGCCGGGAAGAGCGGATGAGGATAGTGGCAGCGGCGGAGGATGGTGGAAAGTTCGTCGGAGATATTATTCAAGATGGTTCTTCTCCTAAGCGCCAATTGATGGCTTTTCTACGTAACAAGGGTTTTGACGCAGGTAATTAAATATCTAAATATCTAATTTCTCTCTGTATATATATACATAATATATTGGAATTTACATGTTTATGTATTGAAATTAGGGGGATTATTGGAGAGAATTTTACTAGTTTGTGACAAATTTAAAGAGTTTATAGTTAATTCAACAATCTTACACAAACTTTTGTTGTTACTATCATCATGTAGAACCTAACATTTCAAGAATTTTGATTTTTTTTTAAAGGAAGAATTTTGATTTTTGGTTAATTAAAGGTTTCCGAAGTTTTCAAGAAATTTGCAAAAGTAAATTTATAAAAAGAAAATAAGCTTTTCATTCATTTAGCGATTTGTACTTTTCAATTATTATTTTTCTGTATCAAGAAGTTTTAAGTACATCCATAATTTTTACAGTGGAAAAAGGTGGTTAATTCTTTGCCCCCATTAGTATCCGGATTTTATTATTTTTTCAGCAAATTAAACTATATATATCGACAAATGTTTTATATATGTGATTCGCGTCATTGCTTGTTAATAATATCAAACGGAACCTTAACTTTGACAAGAAAAAAGATTCAATTTTGCTTCATATTTCATTCGGTGCATCTCGTGGTACTTGAAATAAGTTGTCTTGTACTATATAAATAATATTAATCTTCACCGTATGTACATAGGTCTTTGCAAGTCACGGTGGGAGAGATTCAGCAATAACACCGCCGGGAAATACGAGTACGTGGACGTTCGATGCGACGGTGGAGATCATGATCGTTACATCGTCGAGACAAATCTCGCCGGAGAGTTTGAGATAGCCCGACCAACAAAGAGGTACCTCTCAATACTAAACCAAGTGCCTCGTCTCTTCGTGGGAACTCCCGAAGAGTTGAAACAGCTTGTGAGGATCATGTGCCACGCAATGAGACGGTCGATGAAGCACGTGGGGATACACGTGCCACCTTGGAGGAGAAACGGTTACATGCAAGCTAAGTGGTTCGGTTTCTATAAACGAACTTCGACGACTAATAACGAAATAGTTAGTAATAGTAATAATAGCGTTGATACGGCGGCGTTTAAGGGTTGCAAGGAAGAGTTTTGGGAAGCAAAAGGTCTTCAGCTTACGGTTGGTCAGCTTACGGTTGCTTTCAGCGCTAGTGGGGTTGAAGTGTAATAATGGGAGAAGTGTGTAACTTTTTTTTGTTTTGAGCTAATGTAAGCTAATTTTGGGTTTTGTCTGTAAATAAGTAGTGATAGTTTTCGGATGTAAGTTTTTTTTTTAGTTAATCAAAGCATATTATGTATTAATATTGTTTTGTTTTACTGCCGAGTTATTATTAATGCTCTGTACTTCTATCACGGTAGTAATTTTTTAGTTAACACACTATCACGGTAGTAATTTTTTAGTTAAGTGTGTTATAGTTTTTCTTTTGTTCGGTTATTAGTTGACAAGATGAAAACGTTGTTTCCGAACGGTTTTAACTAAACCGACATGTGGTATCAGATTTGTTTTGGTTTGATTTTTTTCTTCAGAGAGAAGCACCACCAAGAATCCAAACATGGAGACACTTCAAAGTTAACTAGACCAAAACTCCAACCAAGGTAGTTGAATTTTCAGTTTTGCTTTGGAATCTTGAAATTCAGTTTTTGGCTAATGAACTAATCGCTGAATATGGTACATGCATCAAAGAGAACATACAAAAAGACAACAATCCCTCCTTAGAGTTACTTTTCTGCTCTAGCAAGTCTTGTGCGATTTGTGGACAAAAATCGTGGTAAATAGTGACATCAAGTTCTTTTTGGACATACCCAAGCTCTAGAAAAAGATCATTCATAGTTTGTGACTGTAATATAGAATCATTAAAAATGCCAAAAAATAAATAAAAAACAATAAAATACTTCAAATTTACTGAAATCACTTTTCGATATTTTGAGATTACTCTTAACTTCTTCAGCCATTTTGTTCAATCGATCGAGAATGCCACAAAATTTTCTAGAAAAACAATTAGCAGAAAAACTAAACATAAATAGCAGAAAAACTAAACATATATCTCCATCCCCAATAGGAGTAGGAGGGGGGGGGGGGGGGGGGGGGGGGGGGGTGTTGCAAGGGATTATGTTTATATTGAAGAACATATAAAACTCTTTCGACGTTCTGAGATAAAATAAACATATATAGAGTCCACATTTTTGTGAGATGTTTAGCATTTTTGGGCCAACTTGCAGTTTATATGAGTGCCTCACCATGTTCCTATAGATTATGGGAGGATTATTTCGTCTCCACAGCTAATCCAATGGAGCCCCCAGCTCTGAAATGCTGTTCTTGGAGATACATTGATTGTTTATGGCTATATATATTTCTCTTTACATTGTGTCTATGGTCTCATAATACTGTTTCTGGTAAAAATCAGGCGTTTTAAGTAGGAAACAGCTGATGTACTTTGCATCTTATTGCGTTTACTTTATTATCAAATGGAGTAAAATTGAGTAAAGAGAAGAGCGAGACGTGCAGTGTGTCTCCAAGCACCGACTCCTGCCACTAGCCTTGGAAGGAGGCAAGAATGTGCCTATAGTATTACGATTTCAATTAGCTTAAAAGAGACTAATATTTAACAAATGCAAATGCGCTTGGTCGAGAGAATTCTCCACAAATCTTAAACTAATTTTTGAGTGATATATTGAAAAGACAATTCTTATATTATTCAAACATGGATAACAAAGATTTTTATGTTCTTCAAACATGAAATTTTATAAGATCCTTTACAGCTTTATGTTATTGAGGTTGTAATTTGAAAATGTATCTTCAGATTTACTGTTATGATTTAAGTAGTATTTTTTTTTTATAAATAATAAGTAGTTTTGGTGAAGTTTGTTAATTAAAAAAGAATCTCATAGTTTTACATATAATCAACACAACAATAATCCATAAGTCTCTCCAGATGATGACACCTAAGCTTTTTCAGGCTTTCTCAACATGACATCTCAGCAAAAAAATCAACCAATACGAATATTTTATTAATACAGCTTATTTAAAAAAAAACTTTCAATTCATTTGAGTCAAAAATTTTATCCAAGATTAACAACTAAATAAAACCCCTTACATTTGAAAGCCCATAAAATCCTTTGATATAAATAATTATTTAAAACAAAACAAAATTTCTCTCTTTTTCCTTCAAATTATCATTAAATATCAGGTCTCCTCAATTTTATTTTATTACTCTGCCTGCTGCATTGAATTTATACGTTCTTCTTTTTAAAGAAATATGGATAAACAACAAGATACTACTAGCAATTTTTTAGTTTACTTTCTCAGAAAACAATTTTTTAATTTTAAGTTTGATAATTATTTTGCTTTCTTTATAGGTAGAAAGATTCCCAAATTATTATCCTAATATAGTTCAACTTTTGGCTGACTTTTCGCTGGAAAATACAATTTCACAGTTTTTTTTGAGAGAATGCGATGTTTACGATTTTGTCGAAAAATGTAATTTCTCAGTTTTGACGAGAAAATAATTTTTCTTGGCTTTGGCGGGAATAGGGAATTTATCAGTTTGGCAGAAATAGGAGATTTCTTGGTTTCGATAGAAAAATGTGATTTTCAGTTTTGGTAAGAAAACATAATATTTGGTTATGGTGGAAAACGCGAATTCTCGGGGTTTGGCGTGAAAATGTGAATTTTCAGTTTTGGTAAGAAAACAAAAAAAAAATTGAGTTTGACGATAAAAAAAAATATCTTAATTTTGACGGGAAAATGTGATTTTCGGTTGTGATGAGAAATGCAACTTTTCAATTTTGATTAAAAAATGTGATTTCTCTGTTTTGATAGGAAACACAAATTTTCGACTTTTGATGGATAATATGATTTCTTCGTTTTCGAAGGAAAATGAGTTTCTTAGTTTTCGAGAGAAATTACAATTTCTCGGTTTTGATGTGAAATGTACATTTTCAGTTTTTGACAAATAATGCGATTTTTTGGGGGGGGGGGGGGGGGGGGGGGGGGGGGGGTGTTGCAAGGGATTATGTTTATATTGAAGAACATATAAAACTCTTTCGACGTTCTGAGATAAAATAAACATATATAGAGTCCACATTTTTGTGAGATGTTTAGCATTTTTGGGCCAACTTGCAGTTTATATGAGTGCCTCACCATGTTCCTATAGATTATGGGAGGATTATTTCGTCTCCACAGCTAATCCAATGGAGCCCCCAGCTCTGAAATGCTGTTCTTGGAGATACATTGATTGTTTATGGCTATATATATATTTCTCTTTACATTGTGTCTATGGTCTCATAATACTGTTTCTGGTAAAAATCAGGCGTTTTAAGTAGGAAACAGCTGATGTACTTTGCATCTTATTGCGTTTACTTTATTATCAAATGGAGTAAAATTGAGTAAAGAGAAGAGCGAGACGTGCAGTGTGTCTCCAAGCACCGACTCCTGCCACTAGCCTTGGAAGGAGGCAAGAATGTGCCTATAGTATTACGATTTCAATTAGCTTAAAAGAGACTAATATTTAACAAATGCAAATGCGCTTGGTCGAGAGAATTCTCCACAAATCTTAAACTAATTTTTGAGTGATATATTGAAAAGACAATTCTTATATTATTCAAACATGGATAACAAAGATTTTTATGTTCTTCAAACATGAAATTTTATAAGATCCTTTACAGCTTTATGTTATTGAGGTTGTAATTTGAAAATGTATCTTCAGATTTACTGTTATGATTTAAGTAGTATTTTTTTTTTATAAATAATAAGTAGTTTTGGTGAAGTTTGTTAATTAAAAAAGAATCTCATAGTTTTTTACATATAATCAACACAACAATAATCCATAAGTCTCTCCAGATGATGACACCTAAGCTTTTTCAGGCTTTCTCAACATGACATCTCAGCAAAAAAATCAACCAATACGAATATTTTATTAATACAGCTTATTTAAAAAAAAACTTTCAATTCATTTGAGTCAAAAATTTTATCCAAGATTAACAACTAAATAAAACCCCTTACATTTGAAAGCCCATAAAATCCTTTGATATAAATAATTATTTAAAACAAAACAAAATTTCTCTCTTTTTCCTTCAAATTATCATTAAATATCAGGTCTCCTCAATTTTATTTTATTACTCTGCCTGCTGCATTGAATTTATACGTTCTTCTTTTTAAAGAAATATGGATAAACAACAAGATACTACTAGCAATTTTTTAGTTTACTTTCTCAGAAAACAATTTTTTAATTTTAAGTTTGATAATTATTTTGCTTTCTTTATAGGTAGAAAGATTCCCAAATTATTATCCTAATATAGTTCAACTTTTGGCTGACTTTTCGCTGGAAAATACAATTTCACAGTTTTTTTGAGAGAATGCGATGTTTACGATTTTGTCGAAAAATGTAATTTCTCAGTTTTGACGAGAAAATAATTTTTCTTGGCTTTGGCGGGAATAGGGAATTTATCAGTTTGGCAGAAATAGGAGATTTCTTGGTTTCGATAGAAAAATGTGATTTTCAGTTTTGGTAAGAAAACATAATATTTGGTTATGGTGGAAAACGCGAATTCTCGGGTTTGGCGTGAAAATGTGAATTTTCAGTTTTGGTAAGAAAACAAAAAAAAAATTGAGTTTGACGATAAAAAAAAATATCTTAATTTTGACGGGAAAATGTGATTTTCGGTTGTGATGAGAAATGCAACTTTTCAATTTTGATTAAAAAATGTGATTTCTCTGTTTTGATAGGAAACACAAATTTTCGACTTTTGATGGATAATATGATTTCTTCGTTTTCGAAGGAAAATGAGTTTCTTAGTTTTCGAGAGAAATTACAATTTCTCGGTTTTGATGTGAAATGTACATTTTCAGTTTTTGACAAATAATGCGATTTTTTGGTTTTCGTGGAAAAAAAAATTCCTCAGGAGATAATTTAAGTTTTGGTCGTTTATTGGTTTTGGTCGGAAAGCATAGTTTTTGGATTGACGAGAAAATAAATTATTTGGTTTTGGTGGGAATAGACGATTCCTCGGTTTCCGTGGGAAAATGAAATTTTTGGTTTTGACGGAAAAATATGATTTTTTTTGTTTTTGTAGGAAGATAAAATTTTTTGGTTTTGGTGAAAAAACGTAATTTTTCGGTTTTGGCAGAAAAACACAGTCTCTCACGGGAAAATGTAGTTTCATGGTTTTTGCGAGAAAATACAATTTCTCTGTTTTAGTGGGAAAATAAAATTTTATGTTTGATGATAAAATGAATTTTTTTGGTTTTGGCGGGAATATGTGATTTTTCAGTTTTGGTAGGAATATGTAGTTTTTTTGTTTTGGCGAGAGATGCGATTTTTCGGTTTTGGTAAGAAGATGAAATTTCTCTT